AATATTGTCATGTTTGAAGTCTGGTACCGCCAAAACATGACAGTAATTACTCCTATTTTGGGAATAAAAACATGGCAGTCCTATTTTGGAATTTTCAAACCTTTTTAGTCCTATTTTGTCTGCCTTTAATTTTTCATTTCTATATGGTGTCTTATAGGACGCATATCGAATGGCATCCTGGAAAGTGCCTTACTCAAAAGATCTTGAAAAAGAAACCAAAGAAGGGGTCAAATTATGCCAAACCTATAACTAGAACTGAAAATTGTGATAGTTTTTTCAATTTTTTCAACCCTCCTCAAGTTCCAGATGATGATGATGAAATGGATGATGATATTGTAGGTTATTCCCCTTTCTGTTGATATTACCGTAGCAACATACTATTTGATAGAGTGCTTTCAAATCTATATTACTTTTTTATTAATTGGCTGAATCTTTGAACAGGCTGAAGATCTTCATGAGCAAATGGAACTAGACTATATTGGGTGTGTGGGCTATCAATTTTCTAAACTCATCACTAACAGAAATCTTTTTTGTGATTATGATACTTGATATGAAACTGAGTTTAAGGATTACTTTTTACTCAGATCAACTATTCGGGATAGAATAATCCCTCATGCTGTATCATGGTTTACGGGTGGAGCTGCTCAAGCAGATGAGTTTGATGATACTGTAGAGGACAATGAATGTGATGAAGATGAAGATTTGGATGACAATGATGATGAAGATGGAAAGTGACAGCAAGGTGAAATTTTAAGGAAACCCACATAATAATTGTAGAGATTTTACATTCATTTATTTATAGCTGGGTGCACATAATCTTTCACTTGGTATGTTTAATACCCATAAATATGTTTAGTGATTAATTTAAATATGATTACTGGTGTAAATATCTAATTTTATTTAATATAACTAATCATGATTGGAGATCAGTGCCATTAGTGAGTTTGAACAAATATTAAAAATACATTTATTGAGCTAGAATAAGTTTCTTTCTTTCTAAATTTCTCTTCTATTTTCTCCCTTGAGTTCCGAAAGAACACATATTTGAACATCCGCTTGTTATCAGAATCAAAGGTGGGAGGATGATAACCTTCTGTAACATCTCTGTTTCTTGCTGAGACATCACATTTTCAATTCTTTGACGTTCAAAATGGTTCACTAAATTGCAGAACAATGGTGTGAGATCAACAAGGCAAGCGTCTTCCTCGGTGTAGTAGTAGCTGATTGTGTTGTAGAGTAGGCTGGTTGATGGCCTAATAGTAACATTACTGCTGTTTTTTTCCTTTTTGTTATCATTTTGCATCTAGTTTTTTGACAACACTGGTTTGTTTTCATATTTTCATCCCTCCATCTTTATAACTTCTATTTATTATCTGGTATTACATAAATAAAATATTGGATTAAAATCCACAAATTCAATTGAATTAAATTTATTGAATTCTAACAATTGTTATGGTTGATAACTTGATACTTGATACTTTGATAGTGCTGAATTTGCTGATTTTTTACTGTTCAGATTGGAATTGTTGAAATCTTCGAGTCTTAAAAGATCGATTTATGTAAAAACACTAAAATGATCACTTTAAGTAATTTCAAAATGCCAATAGCATTGCATGTTAACTCCATACATTTTTCATTAACTACAACAAAAACAAGCTTTTCACAACGCTTTCAAAATGTTACATTAAATGTTATAAAAGACTAATGTGCACCAGACAAGTTTTACAATCATTCTACGTGTACACATCGAGTTACAAGCCAATTTTTTGTTTGTGGACCAGAAAATTGTTTTTCACTTTTGTAAAGACAACTGCCCATGAGTACATGACCTTGAAAAAATTATTGTCTATGACTCTGATAATTTACTTTTTCGGAGTCACATACTCCCTCCGTCCCGCAAAGATGTTCCCGCTTTCCTTTTTTGGATGTCCCAAAAAGAAGTTCCCTTTTCCTAAATGGAAAGTTATCCTACATCAAAACAGTGCAAAGCAGTGTCAAACAGTGTCTAAACAGTGCTAAACAGTAAAGTCAAATTTATTTCCTAAATATGTGTGTAGGTCAAACCGGGAACATCTTTGCGGGAGGGAGGGAGTACATTTCCCTTTACTAAAACGAAAAGAATTTGTGTGTTTACAAACAAAAAAAATTTGACGTGTACTTGTAACCTTGCGTTTACAAAGAGTATTTTTCAACTTCTTAAAACATGACCATTAAATATTAAAAAATCGCATTACTTTATATACCAAAAGCATTTTGAAACTTCATTTTAATATTTGTTGAAACGTTAGTTTATTATAAATTCTATAAGTGCATATATATCAATGGTCAAACGTCTTTTGGAGATCGTGAAAGCCCAACTAGAAACTTAACTAAGGGACGTGCAATATTTGATATCAAGTTCGTTTTAGAGGAATATCAAAAGGAAATACAACACATTTTGTTTTATGTTCTTGATTTTTTAGTTTTTCATCTCTATGACATATATTGTTGTTTTGTTTTAAACTTTTAATCCTTCATAGATCATAATAACGTTTGTTTGGCAACAAAAACAACCATAACTAATAGATTTTCTCTTGTTCTTTCTCACGTCATTCAAAAAATACGTAATTTTACTTTTTAGAAGGATGTTAAACCCTATTTTAAAGATCAATTTTACATTGTTTTAAAACTCATATTTGATAAAAAAAATCATAAAATGATAAACTTATAACATTCTAATAAAATATTTTGAACATATTTTCTCACATATTATAATATTTATTTTGTTAAATTTCAACATCCGTAACTAAGGAATCTGGGATAAGTTTTGAATCTGTGACATCATCCTTGGGAGTGTCACTGTAATCTCATCAAACCACAACATGCTTCACATTAGTATTTGTATGTTAGATGCTCTTGGATAGTGCTGGACTCGGGCCGGGCGGCCCGCCCCGGAACCGGCCCGAACCGGTCACTGTTTGAACCGGCCCGAACCGTCGGCCCGGCCAGAGACCGGTCCGGGTAGGCCCAACCCGCTGGGGTTCCGGTCCGGGCTCGGGCCCCTCAAAAGGTGAAACGGCCCAGCCGGTTCGGGCCTTTTTTTTGAATTTTTTTTAAGTTTTTGGGTTGGGCTGGGTATTTTGGGCCATTTGAGGTGGTTTGGGGTGGTTTGGGGGGTGAGGGGGAGGGTTGGGGGTTAATTAGGAAAAGCCAAAAAAAAAAAAATTGAACCGAGGCCCGGACCCGGCCCGGTTCCCGGCCTCCCCTTTCATGAACCGAGGCCCGGTCGGGCCCAGGCCCGAACCGGCCCGAGTCCACCCCTACTCTTGGATATAAATACCATATATTTCTGATGCATCTAAAAAAAATTGAAGACATTAAAATCTACACACATGCATGTATTCTTTATCTTATTCTTACATACCCTTTGGTAATTCATTGCAAAACCTTATACGGAGTACGTAATTACGTAGCATACTTTAAGTTATCATGGAGTCATGGGCCGAATATCTATTTGAGTTCTATTTTGTTCACCCCTTCATGGAGGGTGAACATCACCCCCTCCCTCCAACACATGACATTTGGCAAGACTTTTAAATTTTGCAATTGTAATGCCAAGTGTCATGTGTTGGAGGGAGGGGGTGATGTTCACCCTCCATGTAGGGGGTGAACAAAATAGAACTCTATTTGCAAGGCTAAAGGGTCAAATAGGTACATCAACTAACTTAAAGTGTTCAATTACCCCCTTATATAGGAGGTTCTGCCCGGCCATCGCCAATTGGGGCGGTTCTCGGTGGAGTTTTTTGATAAAAATTTTTGAGCATCTTCTTCATTAAGTCTAGTTTACCCATACCAAATTTCAGCTAAAAATTCAACCGGGAAGGCAGTCAAATGATTTTTTGAAGATAACTGCGCAGTTAAACAGCGCAGTACATTTCGGAAAATCATTTGACTGCCTTCCAAATTTAATTTTTAGCTAAAATTTGATATGGGTAAACTAGACTTAATGAAGAAGATGCTCAAAAAATTTCATCAAAAAACTTCACCAGGGACCGCCCCAATTGGCGACGGCGGGGCAGAACCTCCTATATAAGGGGCTAATTGAACACTTTAAGTTAGTTCATGTACCTATTTGCCTCTTTAGCCTTAGTCATGGACCCGGTTCGGGCCGCCCGGCCCAGCCCGCTACTGTGCGGGCCCGGAACCGGCCCGGTTCTCGGGTCCGGGTCGGGCCTAGGCCTGGTGGGGGGCGGGTCCGGGCTCGAGCCTTGTATTTGGCGAACCGGCCCGGCCGGGTCGGGCCCGGGTCCAGGCCGAATTGATTTTTTTTTTTTTTTTCATTTTTTGGGGTTACCCGGGTTGGGCTTGATGTTAGGAGGGGTTTGGGGGGGGGGGTGGGGGGGTTAGGAAAGCAAAAAAAAAATGACCAAACCGGAGGCCCGGCCCGGCCCGGACCCGGTGGCTACCCGGGCCGGTCCCGGGCCTTCCTACCCAAAAAAAAAGCCCGGCGGGGCCGGGCCCGGAACCGGCCCGGCTCGGGTCCATGACTATTTAGCCTATTGACAAAGACATCCATGCACAGATGCACTCTCATCACATAAGAAGCAATTTCTTGAACCACATCATATGTATCCATATTCTTACGTATTAGACTATTAGTGCTAAATTGTTATTTTAAATCATATTTATTTATTGATCTTATTATTTGGTATGTTTTAAAAAAGTATATATTTACCCCCGCGAGATGCCTATAACTTTATTTTAACTTTTTAAAATCATTTGCTCAGATTTTCAAAAAAAAAAAAAAATCGTTTGCTCAGCTGCAAGAATGCAAGATGGCTCAACCTTGTTTGACCTTACACATTACACTGTTAGTAGCACTCCTAAATTAATTCGTGGATATAATGTTTGTAGGAAAACATTGTGCAATAACAAAAAGTACAAGATGTAATTATGCAAATGCCAATATTTTTCTTATAAACCAAACTAATCATAAAATTTGAAGTACAAGATGTAATTATGCAAATGCCACTATTTTTCTTAAGCGCTTTTTTTTAACATGTAAGGTTAAGTATTATACTCATATAGGATTATAGTCATATGAAGTCTCACAACTAAAAGTGTCACCTTAAGGCCACTAGAAGCGTTGTTGGGTCAACAGCTACAGATTTACATCTTTCACTTCCCAACAACAACATTACCCCAGTGCTGCAAAGACTCAGCACTTAAGGAGATGTTGAATGTACATAACCTTAGCCTTGTAGTAAAGCGTAGAGAAATTGTTTCTGAATGACTCATGATGAATCATTTTGCTTTATTACATCTTTCACTTCCCACAATAAATAAAATTAGTAAGAGCTCAATGATATGGTGTAGTTAATGACAATAGTAACTTAATATCTGATGTTTGGCCTGCGCTTAGCAAAAGGGATTTTCTCTCCTTGATGGTCTACAATAGCTGCATCGGTTGTGGTCAGTAGTAGTGAGACACTGCAAACAGAAACGCTTGTTTGTTTAACTTTAATTATTTGTAGAATTGAACAAGAAAATATTATAATGTTCGTAAAAATGTTACTTGGCCATTCTTACCTGGCGGAATCCTCCAACGCTGTTCTAATCACTTTGAGAGGATCCATAATTCCTTCATTTACCATGTCCACATATTGATCTGCGTATATGATGTGAAGTGCATATTACTTGGGTTTGAATGGAATAACAGTTTTGTAATCTAGGGGGTGTTTGGAACTGATTCTGCTTATAAAAAACTGTTTCTATGATCAATTTGGAGCACCAAAAGTACTTCTGCACTTTCACCCAAACACCCCAATATCTGCTTCTGTAGTTTTAAAAAGTAGATCCAAACACCCCCTAGTTAGTTATGTGAGGTGTCTATCTGGACGGAGGGTTTTGGAGTTTTTAGTATATCTCGATATACATGGGAGTATATACCACCATAGCATTTTAATCAACTTTAAGTTGTTTATAGATAGAAGCATTATTCTATTTATCAAGACATAGACTTAGCCACAAAGGGCAAAAACCCTCTACCGAAACAGACATTTGAGATCTAACCTTTGACTGCATCATATCCAAAATTAAGGTTGTCCTGTTCCAAAAGCTTGCCAACAACCAAAGAACCATCTACACCAGCATTTGAAGCTATTGTGAAAGCAGGTGCCTGTTGTAGGAAAACAAGCCTCCTCAGAACAGAAAGTAACCACTTCTTGTTTAGATATAGTCCTGTGTAGAAGTGTTCTTCCTAAATCCTATTTGCTTTTAGGTGCAATATAAGCATATAAATTGTGTGGTATAAATTTATTTAGAAAGTAAGGAAATCAATAGTAACCAAACAATTCTTTCCTTAAAAAAACAGGAAGAACTTTTTGAGATGATCAAGAATGAAATGCTGAAGAACATTCATGGATGGAGGAAGTGGTGATAAAAAATACTAGCTTGAAACATACCCTAAGAGCGTTTTCAATTATCTGAACTCCTCTTCTTTGACTTTCGTTTGCAGTCTCAAGTTTTTTCAGAACCCTTGTTGCATGTAAGAGCGCAGCGCCACCACCTAGGAGCAGTATCACCCAATGATTTTTGTTGTAGGAATGGAGGGTTGGGGGGGGCTTGTTTAGAAAATGGGATTTGAAGTGTATAATGTATTCTTTATTTATACCAGCAACAATTCCCTCTTCCACAGCAGCCTTGGTTGCATTCAAAGCATCTGTAACCCTGTCCTTCCTTTCTCCAACTTCAGCCTCACTTACCCCTCCTACCTAAAATTCCACACAAGGAATAAAAAATGTAGCAAATAATGCATGAATGAAAAAAACATGTGTGGGTGAGGGCATCAACCATATGACAAAAAAATATACCTTAAAAACAGCAACACCACCAGATAGCTTAGACAATCGCTCATGTGCTTTCTCTTTATCAAACATGGGACCACGCTTATTCATGGCAGCCCGTAGCTGTGTTCAAAGGTGAAAAAACTACCAATTATCATTCATAAGTGCGCCAAATATGCTTTGTTCTATCAATACCTACTTCAAAATTGAGCAGGCAATGCAAACATAATATTGTCCCTTTGTCCTCGATAAATGGAGCCAACGACCAACTATTTTTTGTCCTCAATGTAAAAAATCATATTTACACTTCAAAATCTTTTTGATGTTTTAACTCGAAAGTTAGTTTATCATATTTAACTTGTTTGCTGGTGTGATTTGGCAAAACCAACTCCAAAAATATCTTATTTGATTGAATAAGATTCTTTTCTGGAAAAAGAACAGAACTTTTAAACATAACTCTTTCAAAATGGGACAGAGCGAGCATCTTGTTTTAAACAAATTTATCCTAGCAGGTATTAGACTGCAACAATTTGAAAATAGAAGAGAAGATCTGGTTCAAATGGTAGAGTTATAAAACCTGATGCAGAAAGCATAACTTTTAAGGAAAGGAAAGGGAGAACATAAAGGGTCACTACCTCCTCGCATCTTTCTTCAATTAGCTTCTTGTCCCCACCTCCATGTAACACTATTGTGTCATCAACAGACACTGTGACCTGCTCAAATCGCCAAATATATACTATTCCCTGTCCCAAAAAGGTTCAAATAGAAATATCAAAATTTATACTGCGAAGCTGGATACAAAAACCTTTTTTGCAGTTCCAAGCATATCAAGTGTAACTTTGTCAAGGGTTAAGCCTCGCTCCTCACTAATAACCTGGAGAAAAGATTAGGCATCAGAAAATATAATACTCCATATAAAAGTATTTATAACAAAAAAAAAATTAAAGAGAGCCACTCACCTGCCCTCCAGTAAGTATTGCAAGGTCCTCCATGTTGGCTCTTCTGTTATCCCCAAAACCAGGAGATTTGATTGCACAAACCTGAAAAGCAACTTACTGGATCATACCAATTCCAGGGATAAAATAGCAAGCTTGTGAAAACTGAAGATGAAATAGGAACCAGAAAATCAGACAATTAAACTCACCTTAACCCCTGCTTTATGTTTGTTGAGAATTAACATTGTTAAAGCATCGCTCTCCAGATCTTCAGCAACAATCAGCAATGCTCTTCTTTTCTATATAACGCACCAAAACAATATCATAAAAAAATAATCTTTTTCGAGCATTTTACTAGTGCCTTGTGGATCTTCTTCATTAATATAAAACTTATTACCTCCACAGCCTTCTCCAACACTTTCATAACTGAGTACAGGTCAGAGATCTTTTTCTCATGAATAAGGATCAAAGGGTTTTCCAGTTCCTGTACAATTAAAGCAACTTTGCATATATTAACTACATGGTCATGTAAACAAATATAGAATTAAGAACAGTAGTTCAAGAATTGGAAGAAAACTTTACATACACATTTCTGAGCCTTCACATTCGTGACAAAATAAGGGGATATATAACCACGAGAAAGCTTCATCCCTTCCACGACTTCCAACTCATTATCCATGGTATTCCCGTCCTGCTCAATTAAAAGCTTTCAACTACATGTGCTTACCTTTAAGATAAGGCATATAGAATTTTAAAGAATATGCATGAGCATTACTACTCACAGCAACAGTAATGACTCCATCCTTGCCTACTTTCTCCATTGCCTGTGCTATTAGTTCTCCTATTTCCCTCTCGCCATTTGCAGATATAGTTGCAACCTATTAAGAGATATAGCAATCCAATTTAAGATAAAAAATAAATTAGTTGAGAAAAACTTAAAACAATTACTTGGAATTTGGAAAAAGAAAAAAACAATTAGCTAAATATAAATGATGCCTCAATAAACAGGAATCACAAATATATTCTCCCTGCAGTAAAGTGGCATGATGCACAATGACTTAGGGGAAAAAAAAAGAGACCATCTTCTTCTACATGAGTGTTCTACCTGTGAAATCTCTTCAGGGGTGGTAATAATAACCGCTCTGCTCTTCAGGTCAGCAATTACAGCATCGACAGCCATATTAATTCCAATACGCAAGTCCATTACATTAACACCAGCAGCTACCGCTTTACAGCCTTCAGTGTATATCGACTGAGTTAGCACAGTAGCACAAGTGGTACCTGGCATGGCACGGCTTGATGATCAGTATAACTAAATTATAGAGTGACATTACACTATGCTCCCTATGTCCCAAAAAAATTGAGTGGCTGAAATTTATTTAGAAATCAAAGAACTGATATCAACCACCCAATTCTATTAAAGAAACTGGGAGATTATTTTGGGATGAACGAAAAAGGAAAGTGGGAAGATTAGAAGGGGATGCAGTTAGTAATACAATACCCCTTTGTTCCAAAATCAATTTCTCATAAGCTTTTGGCATGCGATTAAAGAAAATGAAACGGTACGATTTGTTATTTATTTATACATGAGACAATCAATATCAAACACAAAATTCATTTCTTTTTAATGGAAACAAGAATTTGATCCTGGGACAACCTAAAAAGAAGAGTGATAAAATTATTTGGGGACGGAGGGAGTACAAGATTGTATTATTCAGAGGAGAGCTAGTAATTACCATCTCCAGCAACAGAATTAGTAGCATTAGCAACCTGCTTCACAAGTTCTGCACCAACATTCTTTGCCTTTTCCTTCAAGTTAATACTTTTGGCTACTGTGACACCATCCTTTGTCACCTTTGGTTTTCCCCCACTGCTCTCAATAATCACATTACGGCCCTAGAGATTCATTTAAAGACAAAAACAATTCCAATTAGGGTGACTGAAATGATATGTATCATGATGGCAGCATAACACACAGTGCACAAGGTATTTCCTATTCTCTCAGCAACTATGAACACACAGTGCACAAGGTATTTCACTATTTCCTATTCTCTGACTAGATATTGCTTCCATGCACGATATTTCAAATGGCTAAAATGTAAGAAAGTTGTTTTAAAAAAACGAACTGTAGGACAAGAGAAAAATTACCTTAGGTCCCATCGTAACCTTCACAGCTTCTGCAAGCTCATTAACACCTTGTAACATGGCCATTCGAGCCTTTGTTCCAAAACTGATATCCTTGGCAGCATAATTTCTGCTGGATATAACCCTGCTAACTATCTTTAGCATACGAACAACAAAGTCAGCAACTACAAAATAAAGAAAGTAGCAAAACAGCTCCACTTAGTACCCAGAAAATTCAGTCCAATCAGATATTTAGATGGCAACAAGAAAAACAAATTTCCCAACACTATGCGTTGACACAACCTAACATTTCTAGAGCCACAGTTAACTAATGTATAATTAGATTAATAGATTAATCTAATTAGATTAGTGAATATGTAATAGTTTAGTTTTTACCTGTTTTCTTGAACAAGATGACCTGGTTAGAAACCAACAGCAGATAATTCAGATATGTTTTCTTGTTTCGAAGAAATTGTAGAGAAAAATCAAATGAAAAGTAACAAAAGAAAAACCTGAAGGCTGAAGCAATGGAGAATGCAGCTCTGTACATTGCGAGAGAGTGCTAAAATGGAGAAGCTGAACTTTCAGAGATCAGTGAGCAGTTTCACTGTTTCAGTGGCATCAACGTTCGTGATGCCGCGGGTTTATAGGGTTTAAGATAGACCGCGCATATTTTTTTAAGATAGGCCGGACATATTTGTTTCAACTGGGTTTTTATTGGTTCTCTGCATGATTCGGTTTAAACTGATCAAAAAAATTATTTGTACACACTTTGGTACACACCTTTGTACATCTCCCCTAGTCGTCTGTGTATACTGACAATTCGTTAAGAAGTAAGCAGCATTTGTCTCTCAATTGCCTGTACTCAGGCGGTGTACAAAAGTGTGTACACCAAGAATGATTCAAAACTGATTGGTTGGATTCTTTTTGAATTTGCTATTAGCGTTTTTTTTCAAAAACATTGCTTCCTATGTCTCTAAATTATTTTCGAAAGTACATTTGGTATGAGGAGTAAGGTAGTGAGTATTGCATTATGGATAAGATTTAAAGATATCCCACATGAAAAATTCAATACTCCATATTTCTTATGTTTATATGATTACAAAAATCAAATACGTAGTACTCCATAATACCTCTAGTAGCCCTTGCAAGTTATAAAAAGAAATTACGAAGTTAATATTCGGATCTGTTGGAACTTATAAGTTGTGAAACTGTGGAATAAAATAATGCTTTGGACTTTTGGAGTATAAAACGGCGAGAATGCAAATGAAGTGCTTAATTGCTAGTGTGGAGCTACCGTTTGATCTTATTTCTTATACATGGTGATCAAACCTCAATGTGCTCGTTTCGATTGAATATATCTATGAAAGTAATTTGGTATGTTTTGACAAATCGGGTGTTACTAAAAAACGTTATAAAAATGAGTTAGTTGATAAATAACCAGTTTTTGAATCATACCTTTAATTTTATAAAATGTAGTGTATTTTTCAAAGTGAACTTGTACTCTCAGCATCCTCTATTCATACTTGTCCTTAAAAGAAATAAAAGTTCATTGTTGGGTATTTGGTGTTGTTAGAGTTAATTCAACAGAGACAATTTCAGTCTTTCAGGAAGCTTAAAAGCCTTTTGGGGCTAAAATGCTAAATCAAGCGGAATGGAGGCACTCTATGATTCCTGTGAATATGTAGTTTTACGTGTAAATATGTAATAAAACGTCTAACATTTAGAGCATGACTAGTCGTGTTAGGATGTTTTTACTTGGACTGTAATTTGCCCCAGACCAGTCCAGACCAGTTCAGACCAGACTTGGATAGTTATAAAAATACAAAGAAACCAGACCTTACCAGACCACACCAGTTCAGACCAGACCAGCAAATTACAGTCCAAGTAAAAACATCCTTAATTGTCACCAAAATTGCTGAATCTGTGAATAGTTCTAAAAGAGAAAGCATTGTGGCGTGACATTTAGAGCCTGATTAGTCGTGTTAATTATCACCAAAATTGCTGAATCTGTGAATAGTTCTAAAAGAGAAAAATGTTGGATGTAATTGATTTCAATCAAATAAATCAACCATTCTACTGTTAAGCAGCATAAACCAATTAATGCATCCAAATGAAGCCTAACACTGTAAACCAGCTTCACACGAAGGAAAACAAGCCCACCATTGACCAATGATCCACTCGGGTCTCGGGTGTGAAGGCTTGCTCACAGAATACAAGGCACTTGACTTGTGACTTAAGAGGCAGCAATATTAATGTAAAGTCCATTCTTTGAGTAGAGAACAGTAGTACAATGAAACTACATATCTAAAAATACAGACATGGTAATGCTTCTTGCAATCTTGCCGGTACAAAATCGAAGGACAAGAACAATAAAGAGAGCCTTTTAATTACTCAAAAAAAAAACAGAAACATAACAAACAAAACAAAACAAAACTGAAAAAACATGAACATATATTATAAGTTTGTGTGGTCAGGTGGCATCTGTTGTGTGAAACAGGCTACACTGTCAACACTGTATCATTCATCTAAATGAGAAATGAGGGCATTTAATAAGCGATCCTTCACATGGTGCTCCCATTGGACGACAAATGAGACAGGCAGGCCACCAAGTACAAATGAGTTTGAACGTGTATGCCAAAGCGAAGACAAAACGGGTGTGGGGGGCTTCACTTTGTTTTCCTATCAATAGTTGCAGGGCTTGAGGATGACTCATCTCCGTTTTCAGAGGTGACCTCGGACGAACCTGTTGATGACAAATCACCATGGTCAATGCCCGGACTCCTCGAACTCTTTGATGAAAGGGTTGTATGATGATTATGTTGAGAATTACCATTTGTTTGACTTTGTCCTTCTTCCGCTAGTTTTTTAAGAAGATTCATCACGGTAGGAAGGAACTTGCTTGATAACGATATAAGTCCAGGAAGCTGTAGAAATTTCAAATCGCAGGTAATAAATTAAATAAGTAAACAAATAAAAAGCACTTCTTAAGAGCGGCAAATCAGTGAAAATGTGAAATCACTAACACAAAATTATGTGCTGTTAGGGACCTAGGTAGTATGGGATACCAAAAGTCCCACACCGAGTAGAATGGGATGCTTGGTGGGGTTCTTAAGTGCCTGGCCCTCTCACCTTAACAGCTAGCTTTTGGGGTGGGGCTCTCCAAGGTGCTTAAGTTCTTAACAATGGTATCAGAGCCGGTTGTCGGCAGGCCAAAAAAGGGGCTACTGGCGGAGGGTTCTGACCGGTGGATCGGCCGAGTGAAGTGCCGCCGGGACGTCGGCTTTCTGGGGAGGGTATTGTTAGGGACTTAGTTAGTATGGGATACCAAAAGTCCCACACCGAGTAGAATGGGATGCTTGGTGGGGTTCTTAAGTGCCTGGCTCTCTCACCTTAACAGCTGGCTTTTGGGGTGTGGCTCTCCAAGGTGCTTAAGTTCCTAACATGTGCATATAAATCAAGTAATTGTTAACTTACGGCGCCATTGCGAAATTCACCAGAGATGTCTAGTTGCACCCAAAGTGCTTTGAATAGCAGATAAGCAACAAAAATGACACCCAAATATAATGGATTCCTGTAACAAGAAAAACAAGATGCTATTCATGTCAAGAACGGTGACAAAAACTAAAATAAAAGAATTCAAGATAGAATAAAAAAGCACCTCAAGAGGGTCATAAACTCATTGAATCCCAAAACAACCATGGCAACAATAGCCCATGGAGGTGGTAACCAATTGTTGCTTCTCTTGCTAGCCTCCTGATTAAAAAAAACAAGCAATGAGATAAATCTTGAAAAAAATCGAAGTGATGAAATAAACAAAAGAAAAGGTATTTGCATTTAAGAAATTTAAAGATCATGCCTGTGCGGCAATAGCTTGTGTGACAGTATACTCTGTCTCAGTTGTAAATTGTCTCCACAAAGATTTACATTGGACCGGCGTTATTAAGGTTTTTGATTGAGGTACCTGTGGAGGTTAGAATAAACTTAGAGTCAAAGACTATGATGGGGGTGAAAACAAGTAAAAAATATAAAATTGAAATCCTTTGAATCACATTTTCTGTACTACACTCCATTATGACTACTTGAAATCATGTTAACCTTGTTATTATACTCCCTCTGTCCTATTGGACTTCGCCAACTTACCTTTTTTGTATGTCCCAAACATTTCGACACTTTGTATAATAAATCATTTGTTATTCTGCTTTTTTTCTCTCCTCTGCACAACTATCAATCACAATTTTTACTTTTCTTATTTACACCTAACCCAAACTTGGCAATGTCCAATGGGGACAGAGGTAATATTAAATAATTAATAGATGGCCAATCAAATGAGTGGTGCACATGGGTACAAGAAATGTGGTACAGAAGATTTGAACTCACTTAAAAGTCAAAACTATGAGAAGTACAACGGTGCAGCCAATCAATCAAGATGCAATGAGTGGAAACGCTTTAACATATAAGAACACTTTTATCAAATTTAATGTTTTGCTGTGCCAAATAATTTACCTCATCCCAAGAGTTTGATGCAAGAGGATCACTTGGAGTGACACTTTTGTTTGCAGCACTGCCTGATTTGCCATCAATCAAAGCAAGGGCAAGAGTGTTTCCAATATTGTCTGATTCTTCATCCAAACGGATAGCAGCCATAACTGAGAGAAGCTTGAGAGACTGAAGAAAAAAATTATTATTATAGGTGCACCATTAAAATGGGTGGTCAGACATCACAATATCCAATTAGTCAGATGGTCATACAGATGAACGGGCATTTTTTGTAATTGCTCGAATGTCTTCCTTTCCTGTCCAAATTCTAGGCATTGAATCAGAATCATGGCTAAATAATGTTGTAAACCTGCCACCAATTTTAGAACACTGCTATCATATTCAAAAAACACATTTAATATTCTAGGAAGCATCAAGAGGACACTGCCACAAACATTTTAAATACCTGTCTTTCATACGGATCAAAACCCTCCCAGCTTCTTCTTTGGTCTTTGTTTCTACGATTCCTCTTGCATGATCCCTTAACTTCGAAAGCATATTACCTTTGGTTTCAACATCCAACTCAAAGCTAGAAAGCTCTGCAGAAAAACCAGATACTGCAGCTTCAGTCTCACGCCGTAGGAGTTCTCGAATCATTGGCCATGTATCATCTCTAGCTCCATCTAATAGAGCCTCAACAGGTCCTGATAATGCCCCGTTAAGTTTTGCCTGCATAAGAACTCTCAAAAGATAAATTAATCAAGTACATAAAACCTAAACCCATAACAACAACGGAGTTCATATCTCATCTTAAATCCAATCAATAGCTAATGAAACTTTGTTTCTCACTATATATTAACAAATTACTGCTACCAAAACTTAAAACTAGCACCGTCAGCCAGTGATTAAAGGCTCATAGGTTCAATACCCCCCCCCCCCCCAAAAAAAAAATATTACACTTGAGCTATACACTTGCATGTTATCAATACCTCATAGGATGCTGTAAGTTTAGCCAGCCTAGCAGCACGGACTTCATCAATATGTGTATCTATATCACGTCTGAGCTTGTCCCTCACTTTGGACGAGTCCCAATTAGCTTGAGCAATGACAGCATCTGCATTAAGTATCAATGCTTATTTTAGATGGCTAGGCGCTAAATCTTCAAACTTATAATAAATTCAGTTATTATTGATACTAAAAGAAAACTACAGCTTCATATATTTCCAAGACAGAATAAGTGAACAGCAACCCCAATGTAAATACAAGTTTTGATTCTTGAATAGGCATAAAGTGAACAGATTTTTCCATAATTTTAATCCTCTCCTTACCATGTTACTTAAAGACTGGGACATTGAATAGGAGACCTAAAAGGCCATGCTTATTGTTGAATTACTCGTGCCTTAAAATAAATTCTTTATGTAGAACAGGTTTATGCCATTCAACCAAAAGCTAAAAGACCGTTGAAGAGACTGAACTCCTCCAAATATTCTTTTGATGGAAAGACAGTAATTTGTTTGTTTCCATACGTTTTGGTGATGCTTTTGTGCAAAGGATAATGTTAAACTCTAAATTGCTTACCAGCACATCCTTTATCAAACTTTGCCATTAATGCCTCAGTGCAGCTTTGAGAAGCCAAAGCAAAACCTTTCCCTCCATTCAATGCATCATCAAAATCTTTTTTGAATGACTCGAAAGTTTCAGAACGCAAGAGTCCCAGCATAGATTGGTAGGCTGGTAAGGTAAGCTACAATATGAGGAAACAATAGGTCCAAATAAATCAGATGTTTGTGACAGAAAATAACTATAAAAACAACAAACTTCCATTCCTGCCTCCTGGAACAGCAACAGCTAAGTCGATTTCCATTTACGCGTTATTAATTTTCCAGTAAAAAACAAATAACTTTTGGGAATAGTTGATTTCCCAGTAAAAGGCATAGCTTGAAAACGACAACACATATGAGCCTAGCATGTAAAATAAGATTCCTACACAGCTAAACTGAATTACAGTTGGAGATATTAAGAGCCTGTTTGGTGACTGTTTTTCGGCTTATCAGGCTTATCAGCTAACTTTTTAACCAAACACGTAATTTTTGATTTGGTGCGCTGAATTGTGTAATAATAAGACAGTAAGGTTGGAGTTACTTTTCTGACTGTATTGGCTTAAGTTACTATAAAGGACCATTTTAGCTATTTTTTCAAACAATTTTTTCTTTATTCTATTAATAAAATATTTTTTAAATATAATTTATTCATAAATCAGCAGAATCAGCCAATACAGCCACTTCAGCCAGAACTTCATAAATTTCACTAGAATCAGCCAATACAACAACTTCAACCAGAACTTCATAAATTTCAGCAAAATTGGCCGATTTCAGTGTTACCAAACGGGCTCTAAGATTTATTGAAGAATGAGGGAAATGTCCAAAGTTTAGACTTTTCACTTTTGATGATCACATAGTGTCCATTTGAAGACCCTACATTTCCACTTGCCCAGCCAATTTTTTTTACCAAACACCAACTTAAATTTGACATTTTTTCCTTCAATTTTTTGGCTTGAGAATATGATGGAATAAAGCAAAATGGCTCACTAAACTATCTGCGCTTCTTTGTTATGAAGCAGCAGTCAGTCCATGCAATTTTGGACGTGATTTTCACTATGGGTCATCCGGAAACAGTTTCTTTGTGCTTTAGTACAGGGTAAGACTGCGTACATCCGACCCCCCTTTGCGGCACTGGGGAAATGAAAATGATGAAGATGAATGAATTTCATTTAAAACTTTATTTGATTATGAAAATATGTTTTAGTTTTTCTCAATAATTCAGCAGCCTCATCCATATAGAGATGGACCCAGTTCCCTAACTGGACCGGACCAGGACAAGATAGTTTATCCCCGTATACTAGACCAATCTATTTCCAGAGACTTGACCTGAACCGGACCAGACCACGAAAGGCCAGTTCCAACGGTTCCTCCAGAAAAGAAACAGCCCCATTCTGGTTTCAGAAAAGGGCTAAGAACCCAAAATCAGATCATGTATAACCAGTTCCGGTTCCCCCCTTTAAGTGACCCAGTTCCGGCTGGTCTAGAACTGGATCGGGTCCACCCTTATCTGAACATCACCCTTACCTAATGTGCTCGTAATCGCATAAGAATTATATAGGATACATGTCCATGCTTCCCCCAGTTGGTTGCAGAGCAGCATGAGGAAACTAAAAAATTATAAGCGGAATACTCTAGTCTCTATAACTACATCACCTGCAGCAACTTCTCTTCCAACTGCTTGCGCTTCGCTAATCTCACACCTTCATCAAAAAATGTGACCTCATCTTCATACCTGAAAGTGCAAATAATGGTAAACCGATTATCAATGTGTGCTAAACTTTTAGACAAATTTTTGTACGTAGAATGTAACAGAAAAAAAAAAGCATGTGAAGCTGGGGAAACATAAACATGGTGGCATAAGCAAGCTCCATCCATGGTGTGACTCAAAACTTTTTTAAGGAGGAGATCACTGGTAAGCTGGTGTTCTTTTTCTATTTGGTGAAATAAGTCTAGTGCAGGTTCACATGAATCAATCAGTTGTCTACTAACTAAATCAGTTGTCAAGCAGAACAATTCTAATCCATTGCATCTCATACCTGTTTAGTATGCAAAAAATGGCCTAATATGATTAAGTAAATAGAATTTAAGAAAACTCACTTCCAAGAAAGGCTTTTGTTCAGACATCAAACTACTCTAGGAATCAATGATACATTTAAATTGAAGAGTACAGAGTCAATACACCCAAAAACACATTTACACACACATTATCTGCTTTATGGCAAAAGTATATATGCTTACTCTTTAAGACAAGTCTCCAGCATCAAACTGATCTTCTTCCCAAACTCAGGCACAGTGTGAGACTGAACTGTTTCATTAAGTTGGCACCACTCCTACAAGTATAATTATCGTTGTATATTTGCAAGTTCATACTTTAACACAACATATTAAAGGAATGAAATGCCCCCCCCCCTCAAAGGAACGTTTCACCAAAACTTAAATGTACCTTGTTTATAGTAAAAGAGGCGTACTTTTCATTTGCAATTTCTTCACACCGTACAGTTGCTACCATGACCTGTAGTCAGCCCATAGTCGTGTGCATCAGAAAAAAGGTAGAACTATGTTAGCCCTGAAAATTCAGTAGATTTTCATGTAAAGACCTTGTGAGCAGGCAGGTCAAGGTCTTTATTCTCCTTTATAATCTTCCATATTTGTTGTGCACTAAATGAAAAACCAGAAGCTGGAACTACTGCCCGTCTATCTCCAGCAAGCCCACCAGGTGCGATAGAGTGAAAGAATCGTTTCCTTAGATCAGCCACCTTCACAAATCACAACAAGAAATTTTTTGGAAAGAGAAAGCACGGCAGTGAGAATGGATGCAGTAATAGTAACAACTTCAATTATCATATGGCTACAAACACATGGAAATATGAAGTATTAAAAATTCTAAATATGCATATTACCTGCTCTTTGAACAGTTCTTCTTTCTCCTCGTAACTAGAAAGGGCAACAACCTCGACCTGCCATTATAGTCAATTTAATGAATGGATTAGTCGCACAATCTTAAAAAGGCACAGCTATCCTAAAGTTAATCAAAGAGGAACTCACATTAAAAAATTCACTAAGAGGAGTTTCTTTGTGAGCTTCTGGCTTCGGGACCGAATCCCATATCTGCAGGGGATAAAAAGTAAATATATAAAGAAAGCCAAGCACGAGAGAGACAAGACATAAATCAAATAACAATAGCATGCAGTACCTTCTGAATATCTTCCCTTAATACGGGCTCCAAACTTTCAAGGGGTGTCTGCAACAAGTTGAAAGCTCAACAATGAAAAAAAACTTATCTGCCATACGATCTACATATGGTATTTGGCTATTTGCTAAAAAGTGAAAACAAGAATAGCACAGGGAAAAAAACATTAGCAACAAAGTGTGTACCCTAGTTTTGTCACGTATAACAAACATCAATGTTGTTTTGCGCGGACTAAATAATCGCATCATCACCTGTCCAAAACAAATTTGTATCAGTAAAATATCTGCAAGTCAATATCCTCAACCAAAAGTTGAGAAAAATATAGAAACGGGTATGCAAAGCTTAATCACTATTTTCAACAGAACCGCATGAAAACAGTTTGCTCATTACCTGGAACACAGTTTTCAGCAGAGGCTTATTAGCAGCTTGCTCACGACCAATATCATGACACCACCTGAAAAATTGCAATTTTACTATCTTAGCTATTCAGATAAAGACCTTCAAGAAACGGTAGTAACATACTGTATAGTAATCTGATAAAAGTAGTTGTTATGTAAAAGACAAACTTACATATTTATTAGAACTATATCAGAAACAGCAAGGGCAAATAAGGCACTCTGCTTCTCAAATGCCGTGTCATCCTACCAAAAAATTACAAGCAAAATTAGAATGAAACAAAATTATACCTCTCACCATCCCAAAAATGCTGCAAAGACAGTCGGCTGAAGGAAATCTCAAGCATGACCATATAGCCAATAGATCTAGCTCTAATCAGTGTGAATACCTACAACTAACCGAGTTCTGTTCATACTAAACCAAAAGGCTATGATTTCATTTGTTATAGTGATCTGTATGTTAAGCAATGCTATTTCATTTATTATAGTGATCTGTATGCTAAGCAGTGCTTGTAAAGCTTGGAGAATAATGTAAGATGCAATACCATATAGTAAACTCAATTTAATCAAAGAAAACATGAGTGCAGGAAAATTGCAAGGATGCAGCTCAACGTATAAATCAGTTCAAATGTTCAATTAATGCCAAGATATTGGATAGCCAGCGCAGTTCTTTTAATTAAAAAGAATCAATATGAGAATCGCATTGAAAATTCTTCATAAGTATTAGCGAGAACATCATGTGTGAGGGTATATATGAGAAGAAAAAACAGAAGAAAACACAATCATATAAGCTATACCTCTCCTCTCTCTCTTCCATCGGTGCCCTCCAAATCCATTACAAGGGTGAAGGGTTCAATTCCAGCACATCGAGCCATCCAAATACCTTTCGTGGTTTGTGATCTAAAAAAAACTTAATTTCAGTCATTTGTTCTGAAAAGTAAATAAGAAGAAGTTATAGTGTCGGGACTTTGATGAATGCATGCCTTCCTTTATAAGCATCCATCTCTCTAAAGTTTGTATGAAATAGATTGTTTAACAATGTGCTCTTTCCTGTCAAATTCACAGTACCAAACCAATAAATATATTAAGAACAGAGGATAGCATAAAATAAAATCATATAGATACATGCTTTTTATGTTATTTGACACAGATATTAGTGCCACTAAACTGTACTAATGTAAAATGTCTCTCTCCGCGGCTCCGAAAAGAGGCAAGACAGCTATTACTCTTTCGTTAATGCATGTGAACAATGTGTACAACAAATCATAAAATACTTCAAGAAAGTTTTGTTCTTAAATAACTTTAGTATTTTTACATTTTCCTCTTTCATGGTCTGATTTTGATTTTAGAGACCGTTTTGTAGCCTGAAATTGGTTGAATCTGTTGAAATGGATGAAATTATGAGAGAAGTTGTTGAATTAGTTGATCTATTGATTTACGGATAAATTTAATTTAAAATATATTTTAAAATATATTAGGTGAAAATTTGACTACAATGAAGATCACCTAGAATCTTCTACAATGAAAAGAAAAACATACCACTACTTTGTGGGCCCATAATTGATACAACAGCATATGAGAGCCCACAGTCTGCCAATTTAACTTTCTTCATGAAGTGTTCAATTCCATCAACATTGAAATTACCATCCCCGTCAATGAGGTGAGTCGAACAACACTCATCATCAATAAATTCTGCAATAAAAAGGATAACTTTAGATAAATGCACTAATAGCGGAACAGAATAGATAACTGTTCTCATTCTTAACAAGGAGAAAGTGACAAGCTGTATGCATCTCACAGGACCACCAGAATATTACTGTAGCCAAATGTCCAAAACGGTATCAGGTTCACAAAATACATGTATTTCTCCTTCAGTTTGATACTATGTATACACTCTTCATTCAAATGTGCAACATAAATCCATCAATTGTGGCAAAAACTTTGCATTTTCAAGTTTTCTACTCCATCCATGCTTCCTTTACCCACACATGGACAAGGATTAGCAAGAAATTGGAGGAGTAGAAAACGTAAAGAAAGGACATCATTGTAAAATATACACATTGAGGTGCTCAAGTCGTTTTCTAAAGCAGGTTTTTTGTAGTATCACTTTTTAGTCCTAAGGAGTTAATTTTGTCCCGAAGCCCTAAAACCTATTTGTGGAACACTCTTCTATTCTCTTCTTTCCAGCAAGGTTCAAATAAATCAAACAACTCAAACAATTTTCTTTTCTTCTATTGGAAGAATAACATCAGAAGTAACACGACTTCTATAAAAATAATCTTTTTATTCAAATTGCTCCAGAAGATCAAAACCTCTAGTATCCAACCATTTATTCTCCGCTTTTTCTCACTTTAACAACTTTTTCTGATTTTATTAAGTCGGATAAAAATTTCCTTTACAGATATAAAATTATTACAATGGTTTAAAATGCAAATTTATGACTCGTTTTTATGTATGATTGATAATATATTTTAGATTGCTATTTTTTTTAATTGTAAAGGAAACCTGGTATAAAGTTTGAAGCGAATGCCTCACCCTCTAAATTCAAAATGCCTCAAGGGCTTAAAGTGCCTTTCTAAGCATGGCAACGAACCTTTTTTCTACTCTATAACCCACGACAACAAAAAAGAAGGTAAAAAAGCTCCATGACAACCCATGTGACGCCCATGTGTGAGTGTGAGTGTGCATATCTTGCTTCAATGACATATGGACATGTGACGTATGTGTATGTGCACACTTCACTATTGTGTGACATGCAATGTACCCACTTACTTGTTACAGTTATGTCATCCCTTTACGTTTTCCTGAGTCATGCTAAATGTTGTCCTTTACAAGGTGTAACAACCTTGATGCGCGTTGTGAATATATAGCATATGTACTAACATACTATGCATACTTCAGTTTAGGCAGCGAATTGCAGCCATACAATAAAGCCATTGCAATCAAAACAGAACACTATTTAAAAAAAAAAAAAAAAACTAAACAGTCTAGTTCTGCATTATTTCTACAGAGCTTAACTGATGCATCTGGACACTATTTTTCTTAAACAAAAAAAATCCTAACTTTATAGTCATGATCAAGCTGAAACATTAATAATAAATCGCAGTAGTATTAGGTTGCACCCAGAACAAAACGTTAAGATTAATAAGTTGAAATACAAGATGAACCCGCTGATAAATACTAGTACTAGTAATAAATATCAATCGGTTACATAACCAAAATCCCTGAAGAAAAATAACAACTTGAATAACTGATGTGAAGATTTAAAGCAGATCATTAAATTGGGGGGTCCGATAAGAATAAATAGTGCTATCACAATTAAGAATGAACCGAAAAGGATCGGAGCGGTGAAGAGCTGAGAGTACCCGTCTGAGGAGTACCCATCTGAGGAAGACGAAGCTGGATCGCGATTCAGGGCAGTGAGGGAGAGTGTAGAAGAGTGTGTCTATCCGATGAGCTCGGACCAGGTCTGACGATCGGCGAGTTTGAAGAAGGTGAGTGCGATCTTGTCCCGTCGTCGGCTACTGGTTATTGTCGCCACCCCTTCGTCCTCGAGTAGCACGCTTTTGAGTATTCGACTTTTTAAAACAGTGAAAACAGAGTTTCTCGATCTGCCGAGTAATTAATTCCGTGAAAATCAGGTAAGGTAGTTTTTTCAAACTCTTCAAAAAAGTTACCCTGTTGAATATGTTCATAGAGTCCTAACCACGTTTGTGTCATTCACATAATCACATTACAATATTAAATAACAAATTAATTAATGATAGGAAATTAGGAATCATATGGCAATCTACAAATATAAAAAATATTTTCAATCTTTTCCATGTAAGTAAATAAAATAGATAGAAACTTATGTTGCTATTGTATAATCATAAATAACATTTGTCTAACATGAATGTTAGACAATCAAATATGAATTTTCTATTGGCAATCAAATATGACTATTTTTACATACCCTCCCATTTAAATGAATTTACTATTTTTACATATACAAATGAAGTCATTCATTAAAAAATATAATTAATGTAGACAATAATTATATGCATGGTTTCTTAGTAATTTGGTTAATTTAGGTGCACTCGGGTGTATACATAAGATTTTACTTGGATAATTATTGGATCAATCTATATAGATTCAGTAAATATATCACCTTTACCCACAAACATAAATTTAACATGTAAAACCTCAAATATGAAGGTTCTCCAAAACTAGGTTATTTGAGGTCTTAAGAGGTAATATGAGGTGAACTTAAGTTTTTCTTCAAATTTAGGTTTTTGTCACAAAATACAAATTAACTAAGTTGAACCTAAAATTGAACCTAGAAGAACTAGGTTCATCTCGAACCAAATGGGTCATAAAATAATAATATAAATTTTTTTCTTTAGAAGAAGAGTTTTTTCTTAGCTTTTTATTTTTTTAATGGATTATGAAAATCTCATGACAGTTTTTGACATGTATCTAAATTGAAAATATGCAAATTGTTCATCACTTTTCTAAATTACTCTAGGCGTCCGACTAGTCCCCATCTAAACGTTGGACAGTGGCTAGGCACTCCAAGTCTCCAATTTCATTCTAGGTGTCCCGAATAACTGATTTGGAACCTAGGTCAACTAATTGGTCGCTTATGGCTCCTATTGTCCGCACAGATCGCCCCATCGGCTACCTAGAGAATCTACATTCACCGAACATTTTTACTTTTTCTTCTAACAGGTATATGTACCTTTAATTTTAAGATAAAAAATAGATATGTTTTTAAGTATTATTATTACATAATTAAATTAAGTGAATAGTTACAATATTATACTCCCTCCGTCCCATTTATATTGTCCCGTTTTACCTTTTTGGGAAGTCCCACAACATATTTGGTAAAGTTTGTGTGGCTCTAAATCATTCTTACTTTATTCTTACTTTATCAATTAATATCAACCACACAAATCCACTTTTCTTAATAACCGTGTCACCCTCTTCTGGGACAATATAAATGGGACGGAGGTAGTATTATTGAAGGTGATAATTATATCATTCATGCATGTTAATGTGTGTTGTTTAGGCACACTCAAACACGATATTACTTACCATATTTTTGATAATAAAAAATATAATTTCTATGTTTTAGAACATTGCCTTTTTACCAGCCACACATAACCATTATAATTAACACAATGGATCCTAGAAGTTTTACTTGTAGTTGTGTCTATTGTTGTTTACTAATTCGGATGGATATCATATATTGTTAGTGAACACTTCACAAATTTGGTTGTGGTGATTAGCAACAACAAATTTCAATGATAATTTTTCAGTGACATCTTATACAACATAATAAGAATCTTCCAAATGTGATCCTTTGTCTACCTTCTTTAACCCCACTCAACTCCCTTAACAATCAATCTGTATGATTTGAACCGTAGTTGTTAAATCTTGAAGCATGGGGTCTGGCACTGTGTTATTATCCTCCTTCAAGTCTATTTATCGATCCTTCTCATTTGAAGAACAGTTTTTCAAAGTAATATAAAATTCAGAGTTTCTAATTTAAAAACCAAAAAGTCGGTTGTTTTAGATCTAGATTTTGATGTAGTTAGTTTAGTTTAAGTGAAATGTATTCTGGGTTGGCTATACATACATAGTCCAATCTCAAGTTATGGAGGAGGCTCGGTTCAGGTATAGTGATATGGACGGAAAAGGGGGAGGCAATAGAAAATATTGAAGGTGTGACTCCTTATGACCACGTTTGTTTCTTACTCTGCCATACACATTGGAGAATATAACATAATTGTAAGAGAAGATTCATATCTACTCCTAAACTTATGTTTTCTCGACAACTAATATTTTCCCCATGTTCTTTTTGTGTTTACAAATTTGGCAATGTTGTGGTCATACTCCCGTGATTGTTTATGTGTTTACGAACTTGGATGTGTTGTGGGGTCTTCCATTGTATGATATTTTTACCATCTATTTGTTAGACACAATTACACGATATTGCGTTAATTTCAAAAAACAGTTTCATTTATGATTTGTTGCAGTGTTAGGGGGCAATACAAGACTTGTTTATGGGGGGTGTAGTATTTACAAAGCTCTTACAAAAGCACACGATTGGTTTATAGAATGTGTTGAAAAAAGATCAAAGATAACTACTTTTGCCACTTACTTGTCCCATGTTGAGCTTTTAATTGTCTTTTCTTTTATTATCAATCCATTTTGTTTGTATAAGGTTGATGCTCTCCAACACTAATATTTAGGGATGGTTTGGGTTGGCTGCTATGGGTAAGAGAGTAAGTTTTTGCAATGCATGTTTGCTTATCTCAACATATTCATATGCATTACTCCTCCACCCCCCACCCTTCACCTTAATTCATTACTTCCGTCATCCACGATTCCTAAAGTATGGGATGATAATTATGCAATAAAAGCATTTTTGCATTCTGAGCAAGGTCACAAAATTCATTGTTAATTTTTTCTCTGTTACATATTGATTTACTCAAAAGAGGATCAAATATGGACTTTAACTAGTTAATTGATTAACTGTGCATCCATATTCAATCCAAGATATCAATCTTTTCTAGTTATATATGTGACCTTTTATTATGTTGATGATTTTAGTTTGTTCATTCATCACCCCGATCCATGTATGTTTTATTGTTGGTAGTGAATTGGTAGTTTGCATATTATCATCTTCTCACCACTTTGAGTATCTTCCATGCTTCAACTGGAGTATCTAGTGATCCTTTCTTGAATTTCTGCACTTGCTTCTTCAATTCTATGACCTTGGAAGTAGGAAAATACTCTTTGATGAAGGCACTGTGCAGCTGATCTCATGCCTACAAGTGATGGTGTAGATTGTTGTCCAGCCATCTTTAAGCATCATCTCTCAATGAGAATGAGAAAAACATCATCTTCATTTGGCCATCGACCACCCCAAGTATCTTGAAGATTGGGCACATCCTTAGGAAACTTGTAATATGTGCCACATGATCTTCATTTGGTGCTCCTCTAAACTAGTTATTTGAAATCATTATGATTACCACCGACGTGATCCCATAATGATTAGCAGTAATTCCCGACCCGTATGTGCTTTCATATTCTGAAACTTCCGGTGTAAGGTACTTTGCTAACGTCTGACCTTGATTAAGAGGATTGTAATGCGGGACACAGTCTAGGAATGGAGGAGCTTGTTGTTTTGCCTGCTAGGCTGGCCTGGTTTGCACGTGAGGATCTGGTGTTGTGTTTGAAACAAATTAGTGGGAGGACGATGCTGCTTTTGGTAATTTACAATCTGAAGGTTTTGGTTAGCTCCTTGTAACCCAAGTGTTTGAGGTTGCAAAGGATTTTCAGGAGCACTTGTGGTTCGAAGGAGCTGGTACAAAGGAGGCAATGTGGAAGGTGAATTTTGAAATTTTTGAGGAATGAAAGGATGACGACAATTTTGAATCCAAGAGGAAGATAGATGTCCCAGTGGAGAACTTTGGGGAGAGGTATGGACATAGAAACCCTCATTCCCATGTAGAGTAGTTTGAATGGGTTGAGTGATGGGGACATTGGATGTCCAAGCTGTTCCGGAAGTGGATGGATCCATGTCTTATTAGAACGAGTATGCATAAAAATCTAACGTGCATGGTTAAAAGATAAAAATCCTTCAAAAAAACTGAAACTAAATAGAACTAGAGAGAAAAACTAAAACTAGTCGCTGAAATAAATTAACCTTAAAATCGACACTGTCTCTAGCAACGGTGACAACAACTTATGTGAACTTTCTCACACTTAAAATATGTGTATCAGTATAGGGTGTAAGTACGGGTATCGTATCCACTAGGATAGGACGGAAACGGGAAATTAAGTATTAACTAAATTCATCGATTAAACATAAATAAATAAAAACGATTGTGCGAGATGGATTTTGTAATTAAATGTGACAAAAAATCGTACTAAGTTAAAAGGCTCTTTTGAATTAATGACAGAAAGGGAACATGGATTGATTAGGGGGGCTATCAGACTTAATCACATGAAAATTATTTAATGAGCAAAACAAGTCAATACTAAGTTCTTACAGCTCTCGCCGCATAGAGTACAACGATTTAGAAAATCAGGTTGATCTCTCATGCGACAGACTTCTAAATCATTGCTAAAACGAGCAAGTGTATGGCTCCCTAACCTTGCTAATCTATTAGCGGGTGATTAAGTGCGAGTGAAAGTGTTCTAGAAATTTTTTGACATCTCTTAAATTATTCTATGTGCCATTATAATCCCAATGGCCGTTCCAGGTTACAAAATATAACAATTAAATTATTTAAACACATTAAATAATAATCATGAAATTATGCCATCAAAAGTTAAACCGAAAATCATAATTAGCATCCCTTCATCAATCATAATCTCTAATTAAATCTACTCACCATTCATAATTGAATTAACAACAAATGTGGAAAAGTAAGAATTAAG